CGGACTTGTAGGTAAAGGTTTTCGGGCACACCTTGCACCCGTAGGGCCTGTCACCGGTGTGGATCCGCTCGTGCTGCACGAGATTGGACTTGTAGGTAAAGGTTTTCGGGCACACCTTGCACCCGTAGGGCCTGTCACCGGTGTGGATCCGCTCGTGCACCGCAAGCTGGGCCCTTTGCGGGTAACTCTTAGTGCTCTGGTTGCAACCGTACAGGGGCTTATTGGTGGCCGCGTGGAGCCGCTCGTGCTTCGTCAGACTGGACTTGTACGTGAAGCTTTTCGGGCATTGCTCGCAACTGTAGGACTTGACGCCCGCGTGGCTGCGCTCGTGTCGTGTGACGCAGTCCTTCCGGGCGAAGCTTCGCGAACACGTTTTGCACCTGTAGAGCTTCACATTCGCGTGGATCTTCTCGTGCCTCGTCAGGTTGCTCTTGAGGCGAAAGCTCCTCTTGCACACTTTGCAAACGAACAACTTATCATCCGGCTCGGTGGTTTCGCGTATCCGGGGATCGTCCTTCGTTTCGCCGATTGTACCGATTAATTCGTTGAAAAGGAAATCGATGGCACTTTCGTCCATACTCGTGACGGAGAAAGAACAAGGGGGGCCCGGAAAAGCTTCGTCGCCGATGTCGAGACCAACGTTCCACCTGCAGTTCTATAACAATGTCACTTCAATTTAGAAACTACTTTTTCAACCTCATAAGTACCAAAACTGGAATGAAAGCACCCGGAAATATAATGATGCCGTACTATTCTTCGCGAGTCATTATTATATATATATATTTTTTACCAATTAAAAACTGCATTTACTACTGACTACTGGCACAAAAAACATTTTTCCATGAGTGATTTTTTTTTTTTTTTTTTTTTCAATGAGAAGAAAATGTGTCGTTTTGTTCTTGAAGCGAGGAAATAAAAGTACGTAGTTGTTTCAGCGTTTGTTTCGGAATTAAAAACAATTATTTTTACAATAAAACAAAAATTTACCTTTCGTTTTTCCGTTTTAAATCGTTGGATGCAATGGGCTTATTGGGTTTTGTGTTTAATTGAGCTTTCGATTTTTTCCAAACAAAATAAGTACTTCTTCTTTGATATGCCAATGGTACATGTGCACACTCGAAGTATTTGTAAAGTTTATTCAATGTTATTCAACAGTGTTTTGATGCAACATTGTTCAAATTACAAACGTAGAAACAAAGAAAAATTAGTATGTAAAACGTTGAAGAGCCGTTACTGTTGCGAGAGGCGAGTGAACATTGAATCTAATTACTGTTAGTGTAGCACATGTACTAGTACCCATGAGGAACATAATAGGTCTAAAGTACGATAATGAGTTATTGAAATTTTATGGTGCAATAGAGCATTATCAACTCACTCGAACGCCGGCAACCATTGTGGTTACAAAAATTTCTTTACAATTAGCTTTAAACACATGTTTATGAAATGGTTCTCTTTGAACCAATCAAATGCAAAGTATGTATACAAAGTAAAATAAGTATTTTTTAATTAAAAAAAAAAACAAAAAAAAAAAAAATAATAATAATAATCTTAAGAAAACAAAGCACACTGCAGACTCAATTGTGTAATTAGTTGGTTTGTTCGCTGGTTCTTTATAATATTTGAATTCCTCGACTGTTCTTTCTTTCCTAATGAAAATAACTCATGAAAACGAATAACAATTAATGTATACCGTACTTTCCTTTTTTTTTTTTTTTTTTTGATTAGTTATCGTCTGTGACTTTCCAAGTAAAATTCCGATCGGAAAGCGTGATACATCAATGCCGTGAAAATTATACCAAGGACGAAACGACGAGGTAGTCAAAGAGTCGAAGAGTTATCAGTCCGATAATCTAGAGCGATAGTATATAAACTCGTTCCGCCATCGGGTGGTCGGGTCTCTCGCTTTGCCACCCCTCGATCGGAGCAGCATCAGGCAGGGAGGCACGCATCCTTTGCCGGGGCAGCAGCTAAAAACCAATCAAATTCAAATCACGAGCATCCCAGTGGTCCTTGGGCCCGTAGGAGGAAGGGGACCCCCGCTCTTGGCTATACGCGTACACCCGCAACGGTTTTCAATTACGGAGCACTTGGTTTATAGTTATACCGTGAGCTCATCTGACCGTAAGCCGTGCGTTGAACAATTCAAATGAGCCGTACAGTGTGCGCGGCCGGGCAATGGAAGGGGCGACGAAAAGCGGGAGCCGATGGGAGCAAGTAGTAGGTATTACTGTAAGATCGTAAAAGGGAACGGAGAAAAAAAGGTAAAAAAAAAGCCACGAAACGAGCTGATTTCGAACTCGTGCATTGTACAACGATATGGCGAGTTGAAGGGGGCGCGTGGCGTGGAGGCTGCAGGTAGCCTTGGACCGTAGCCCCCTCGGCAGTTGTTTTTAATGAAAATGAGCAGGTATACATATATACATAGTAAACGGCTATCTTATAGCTTCTCGTAAAGTCACGCACAATGGTGCCGTAAATATAAAAAGTTGCCGCTTTTCCAGCGGGGGTTGCCGTGGCACATCTGTACGTATTGACCGTCCAAAAGACAGCGGGGAGGAGGCCAAAGGAAGTCGCATGGGCCCTCGGTGATGTGCTGTCCTCGAGCCCGTGAAAGCTGCTTCCGTGCGTATATATACGTATAATATATATGTGTATATACGTGGATGCACGCGTCCATATAGGCAGCAAATTTTCAGCTCTACTCCCACGTACCTCTACATGCCGTTAGCGAACATTTGAGTCTTGGAGGGTACACATCTCCGTAATAATATGTATTCTCGTGAAAAAAGACCCACGTATAGTTATATTATAGCTTCGAGGGTAAACGGAATTAAGAGATGGTGAATATTTCAGCTGCACGTATTAGGTAGGAGGGAGGAAACTATGGGTACAGAGTAGTAAAGAGAGGACAAGCGATGGGTATCGCGGTAGCCATAACGGATGGTCCGCCCGTAGGTGTAGGGAAAAGTTGCAGTATATAGTAATTGGAGGGTGCGCGCGCAAGATCCTTTTGGGGAGGGAAACAGGAGGCGCGTGCCTCCAAGGACGTTGATGCCTATAATATACTTATACTTATATACATGGCTGTCGTGTCGTGAGATTATATTGTATTTTTGAAGAAGAGCCAGCGGGTGTGCAGTGTGTCCTTTAGGGTTCATATTTTTTCGTCCCATTGTTTTTCCTTCGAGGGTATCATAATTGTCAAATTGTACGTGTTATTAGAGGTTGAAAATGAGTAGGAGTTCTGGCACTTTTACGTGCGCATGCTTCCTCGACTACCTATGTGAGTCAGAGAAAAAATGGGTATATATATATACACATCTCAAAAAATGTCCAAAAGTACCCAAAACAGTACACTAGTGGCACTCTTTTTTTTTTTTTTCCGTTTACCCTCTGTCCTCAATTACTCAACCTCCAGATTTCTCTATTTTTCTCATTCTTCAACAAAAATGAGCAAAAGCAATGTAAATCAAATTCTATACATAGTGGAGAGGTAATGCAACGGCCACTGTCGTTTTTTTGTATACTTTCGTAAAGATGATAAATTGTCACATCTGATGTGGTATTCTTCGTTCATTATCGTTAATCCTAGCAATCCCATCTTCAACTTTTGTTTTGATAAAAAAATAAACAATACAATGCGTATGCTCGATATTTTTCGATCATCTGTTTGACGGACAGATTTAAAGCGAGTTTCCGCGAATGGGTACATTTGCTCCAATTGTCCGATGGCCCTATAGTAGCCTCATCCTTCCCCAACTTGGATTCATTTACGAGCTAACATGTTGGCGCCCACTTGGAAGAGTAAAATTATTAAATTGGTTTTGTTCTATACCTCTACAAAAGAACCAACAACTTCCACTGAAATTCTACCAAAAGAGCAATAATATACGAAATCCACGTGTGTCTCTCGAACATCAGATAAGCAGTAACCAAAATATATATTATACTCATATTCCACTGCCATTAATATTCATGAATCACACCCGGATGTTCTTAAGTCTTTCAATGTTTATTTGCACGCATACCTACGGGCATTAAAAATCAAGTAAGTGCAGGCACGTTTCGCTTGTAATTCATACAAAGGTACAATTATACACGCGTACGCATGTGTACATCCAAATGGTTAAGCCGCATGTTGTGTGGTTCGCATTTCGTATGGAGCTTTTCGGCTGTCGGGAAATCAAAAGGCGCAAAAACCATGGGCCATTTTACGATCGTCGTGGCAATCCACCTTTTATGGGTACATCTACACGCTGGAATCTCTAGAAAAACCAACCGTGCCAAGGAAAAATAAAAGAATTATGCGGATGTTTGTTGATTTATCGTTAGCTGTTTTTCTAAACTTGGATAATTTTCTTGATCCGTTCAACACGAAATACCGATTTTCAATTCGTTCCCCAAGCAGATACATTTTACTTCCATGTCATCTGAAATATAGCAAACGATATAATTTGTAGGTAATCAAACGTATTTTCCCCCTTCCACATATATCTCTATTTTTCACAATTTCGCCACGGATCATTTCGCGATACCGATCCCGAGTGTCCGAGTAGGTGGCGATCGTTTCCTATACGTGACTCTATGATTTTTCACAGACTTTGGCGTAAGAGCCCTCCAATTCCTCTCGTTGTTTTAAGCCGTGCGCTGCCCTGGTGACAATATACCTTTACCACACGCTCGCATAAATCGTCGGCCTTGGCTGTAAAGCGCAAAGTCGGTATACATGTAATACTTAGGGATCGGAGGTAAATTTGTCGCTGCTTCCGCTGCTACTTTAGCCGCTGAATCGGACCCCGGGGGGCGATGTCAGACAACAGGGGCCCGCAGAGATGAGTCAGACCCAAGTCTATATATTATATACCTGGAGGAGAGGTGCAACCAACGGGCAGAGTTACCGAGATCGGCAGCAGTACCCACATCGAGTCGATGAAGCGAGAGTATAGGTTGTAAAGAAAAAGGAGGGGGAGGGATTTGTCAAAGGCACGCGACCGTATAGTTCGCGTCTCTCCGACTGACCCTGAGCCCGCGCGAAGCCTCGTGTACATAACCGTCAGGGTCAGGGTCTTGGGCCGACTACCAACCGATATGACCAGCTGCATCCTTGGGAGGATTTATTTGGCCCCCGTGCTTTTTTCAAGCTCTTCTCTCTCTCTCTCTCTCTCTCTCTCTCTCTCTTGTCGCGTGTCCACTCAACACTTGGCCCGCACCCCACGCGAAGCTGCATCTTTCCACGCTTCGATTTGCCTTTTTCCCCTTCCCAGTGTCTGGTTGTTTCGATTTCGATGGCTGCTACTTCGACCTTCTTCTTCCTCTTTTTTTTTGCTCTTTTTCTCTTCGTCCCTTTCCGTGTCTCTTGGATTAGGTGAGATATCGAGGAACCTTCGGCTGGTAATGACACTTTTCGGGGAATCAATGAGTACACAATAAATATATTGTTGCTCATGCAAAATGCCCGGGGGGGGGGGGGAAGAATTTTTATTTTTTTAATTTTTAATTTTTATATCATCTCTGCTACTATCTACTTTTGTTGCCATTTTCTTCGACGAGCCATTTTGGTATACACCACATGGGATGAAAGATCAGCCCTACATCAGCGATGGTTGTTAAAAATAAAAAATCCAACTTGTTCATGTGTTTGTCACTCGTGAAGCGTCGTACCGTAACATCTTTATACACGTATGACCAGAAGACAAAACAAGGCGAGTTTTTTTAAAACTCTCTCTCTCTCCGCGTAAGAAGCTAGTGGTGGTTGAGCACGTGATTATCGAGATCTCTGTTGCGGATGAAAATGAGTTCGCAGCCGTGGCAGTGGTACGCGTGCACGATGCCCATGTGCTTGGCAAGGTTGCTCTTGTCGGCGAAGGCTTGCGCGCACTCGAAGCAACTGTACGGCCTCGCGCTCGTGTGGATTCGCTCGTGCAACTTGAGGTGACATTTTTGGACGAAGCGCTTAGAGCACAATCCGCACCCGTAGGGCTTGTCACCGGTGTGGATCCGCTCGTGCTGCACGAGACAGTGCCTCCGGATGAAACTTTGCGAACACCACTTGCAACCGTAGGGCCTATCACCCGCGTGGATCCGCTCGTGCTNAGAATTTTCCTCACCATATTTTTTTTCTTACGTGTAGCAATAAATTTAGACTTTTCTCTTATATTATTATTAATTACTAAGCAATGGAATACTCTCGCACTTTGTGGGCTTTTGTTTGTAGCGAATGACAACAGTCAAATTTCTACAAAAATAACATGACTTGGCCTCGTATCGATACACTATCATAGCAATAAAGTTACAAGTGTCACATACAACGTTTCTCAGAGGATTGGACGTTAAGAGTTTCTATTAAAGTATACAATGAAATTAATGAACAGGAAAATGTTTTTTTTATTTTTTATATTTTAGTATCATTCACTACCATGATAAAATTGTATAAATGCATATTTTCCGTTTGCCTGATACCGTGTATAAGTACTTACGAGTGTTTCTGAAATTTTATTGTATCTCGTAATGTAAAACCGTGTTTTCAAACTTAATGCAACCATCATAAAATCAAACCATCAGTTATAAGTATCGCACTCGCAATTGACTCGCCTATGCTAGCCCATAGTTTAGAAATTTTTTACTCCAGATAAACCTTTGAATAAATGAGAAGAAAAAAAAAAAAAAAAAAAATTGAATAACTTGTAATGTTAAATAATAATCCAAATGGTAAATAAAAAAGAATTGCTCTGTATCATATATGCGAGAAATTTTGTACGTTCAAGCATCACAACATCAATAACACAAATATTACATGAATAAAACATTTTTTGGAAATCTCCTACGGCAAATTTGAGACGCCACATCAGTGGCTGTGCAAATATTACCAAAATTCGATATAATTTTTTTCCTCTTCACGGGGTAATTTTTTCCTGTAGTTTAACAGTGAAAATTATTGGATTCGCACAATATTTTAGCATTACCATACCTCTTTTCTCTGTGCACGGTAAAAAGAAAACGTCATTAAATCAACGTTGTATCAAATCCATGGTTTAATCAACATAATCATAAGCTATTCTTGAGAGACAATATTTATGTTGGTATAAAAAAAATCAACCCAGTTCTTCCCGCAACGATGGTAACAATATGGTAACAAAAAAACACAATAATGATTCACCCCGAAATAAAACTACACGCGTCACTCGAAAGGTCTATCATCGCTAGCATTTATTTACGTCGTGACTCGGATCAAATGTCCGCATGTGTAATATTATATACTAAAAAGATTCACGCTCAGGCCCCCCACAATATATATTATCAGTGATGTAAACGTACGTTTGGCAGAGCACGGCGTATATAAAAAAAAAAAAAAAAAACCATCGGTGTGGGATGAGAAAAAATATCCACACCAACCCACGGCGATGGAAATATTTTGATTTGCGATTACGTGTACGCGCACAAAGCCAATTGCCGAAGCTATACCGGTCGAGATCGGTATATACGTATAACGTAATGGCCTGCAAAGAGAATTTTGATTCGGACTACCGTGACGGAAAGGGAAGACATCGATGCGAACCGCGTACTTGTCGCCGTGTGCCATTGTAAATCGTCGAGCCTCTCTCTGACCAAGGATAGATACCTGGAAGCGAGTCTCGAAAAAAATAGCGGCGAGGCTGCCGGTATAAACACACACGCGCGCAAGCCGATGTTATAAAACGCGTGCCGGCAAGTTGCGCGAGTATATTTACATTGGCCGCGGCCTTTTTGTGCCATTTTTTTTTTTCTTTTCTTTTTTATTATTTCCCCGAGCCCCGGTGCGCACTCCCTTTTTGTAATTGTGCCGCTATCTTATCGCTCGGGGCTCACCGTTTGTGTTGCTGCACATGAGCTATCCTGTGTCTCTGTTTTCTCTCGGTTGTGCCGGTACGTTTGACTTACATACACACACATACCATTGTACACGGGCATAAGTAGGTCTCTTTTTTTTTGCACAACACTTTTTTGGCCTACTTTGTTTTTTTTTTTTTTTTTCTTTTCTTTTTTTTTGCCAGTAATTAATTATTAATCGTTTTGCTTTGAGAGCATTTGAATGATTGTACTGAAAATCTGGGACAAAATTTGATATCTTTCATTTACTTATTCGAGCACTGGATGAAAAGTCAATCGCTGAGTAACTACTCATACAATATCGATTTTCACAAATCCAATGATGGTAATTTCATAATAAACTAAAGATTATTTCTCTCTTATACTTGATGTGCCTATATTTTAAAAACTACTATGATTACTGATTGTACTGTTTTTTTATTTATTTTTAAAAATTATCTTTTGAATTGAAAAAAAAAAAAAAAAAATTCTCAATATAAAAAGAATTGTATCTCTAATACGGTATTAATTCGGTGCAATCATCGCAATCGTCGTATTTTTCTCTCTCTCTCTTATTTATTAAAATTGAAGTACATTTCGGAAAGCTTCAAACACATTGTGCGATAAGACTCTCTGTCCGATCATCGCGTCTACAGTGGAAACAAAAAGAGCGGGGCTGAGCTCATTACACGTACATCGATGGTTCCACAAAAAACTATTTGTTTCATAGCTCTTGTCAGCGTTGCACGCATCTTTCAATTGTTGATATTTATTTCCTACGTACATAATATTAGGAGGTAACCGAGACGAATTATGAAGATAATAAATGCGCCAATCTGTGATACATCGTTTATTTTTCAACTCATTCAGCTTCATATATATATTTAGCTCTTGATTTTCGGCCACCACGTATTTTTAGTTGAAAGGTTCCGCATACTTGAACAATCAGCGCTAAAAGTTAAATTTTAATGTACTCGAGAAACGCAAAACGGATGCTTTTTCGCGGAATCACTCGCACACGGTTACATATACATTATGTAGAGACAGAGCACGGAGGTGACGTCGGGGTTTATTTGCCGATACCTACCTCTCACGAGGAACCTTTGCGCTTACTGTCGTTGCAAAGTAAGCATTCGTACAGGTATTCTATATATTGTATATACACACACGTATGCACACCGAGAAGGCGCGAACGGATAGATCAAAGCTGCCGCTACACTTATCTCGCGCGACAGCTCGTCTTTTTTTTTCTTTTTTTTTTTTTTTTTTTTTTTTTTTTTTTATTTATTTACCGCGGGGTCTTTGACGAACTGTGTGCTCAGCTCTCCCTCTCCCACGAGAGGATATATATGTATACATGTACTTTATTTTCGAGTGTTTGATATTAGCTGCCTGGCAAGGAAAAGAAGAGGAGAGCGAGATGATGAAGCGTATATCCTCACACTTTGCTCTCTTGTACTTACTCGCAGTTATAATATATCGCAACCATATTTTCGTCACCCATGTGCTTCATATATACGTATAGATAACGTTATAGAGACTCTCTCGGTTGAGTGTACACATGAATTCACGAAACATGTTCTAGTCACAAAATGTCACAACAATTACGTTTTTTAATCGGGCTGATGATCCCCGAGAAAAAGTTATATTTTTTAATTCATAAAACGTTTTATTTTCTGACGTCAAAGACTCATCTCTACTGTAAATGTCAACAAAAATTGCTGATGCCTGTTGATCATCGATAAGATAAAAACCATACTTTGATTTTTACATGATATTGGTGCATTTGTACTGAAAATTCTTCTTTGGTCGGCTGTTCCATCAGGATTCGCGACTATTGAATGTAATGTAATACAATATGGATGGAAAAAATGATGGGTGCGAAAAACACTTTAAACAACAGCAGAAGAGGAAAAAGGACCGACGGAGGAGTTGACGGAAAGGGCGCAGACGCAGAGCTGGTATTGATTTCCCATGCCACGAACCTTTATGTATACCGCCTGTCCTGCGCTGTGGAAAAGGTAGTGTCAATACTTGGTGGGAAAATAAAGAGAAAAAGCGAAAAACAACAAAATACACTTGGTGGAGGTGTAAACAGGTCCGTAGGTGTGTGTCCCAAACACCCACACAATACGAGTACAACAAGCCAGTTGTATATTTTTAATCTTACGATGTTGCGAATTGAAACGCTGCAAATTTGGTCTGATGAATCCATGTGCGACTAAAAATCGAAACAAAAGTGGTTTTTGGCATCTGGCTCGCCGTTTTTATTTGGAATTGCTTTCTTGTTGCGTTTTATTTGAAATCTTGGGAAAAAGATGAAAAGTAAAAAAAGGGACCGCATGAAAAGCCAAAAGTTACATTTTTTAGCGATAACCGTAGTTATACGTGTATCCAATGAGTTGCAACGCAAGTCAGGATGTATACCAAAGTATAAAGGATCGATTCAAAAATTATTGCATCCGAAGCTTTTCACTGAGCTTTGTGCGAGAGCACCGGTACATAAAAAAATATCAAGATTTGACACAATCGTCAACGTTTTTTACTTTTGATCGGTATGTTCTGTTCGACAGCATCTATTTGGGTGCAGCTGTTAATTTTTCAAGTGAAAATCACGAATTAGAGAAAAATCGCTCAAAAATAATCTCTTGCTGTGTAGTTTTTCCGATTTATCCGTCAAAACGGATCACTGACTGATCCATACCGATCTTCTTACTCGTTCGGTTCACCAGAGTAAATCACACGCGTAAACGAAAACGCCGTCATACTGCGTTCGTTTGAACTAGTAAGTACATCCCATGTATACTTATACAGCCTCCGAGAAGAGTCACACGCACCCCGCGAGCCACAGGGAGCCCATGCTCCGAATCCTTCGTTATTCCAATCGCGGGTGTGATTTGTGTGGCGCCAGGGACCTTCGGCTATTACCCATATATAATAATAGTCGTGCACACACATACACGTATTTAACAACAGCCGTGCAAGTGCATCGAAGAGCCACATCGAGAGAAAGTGCGCGTGTCGGGTTTTTGGTGCTTCTTGAAAATGTACATCGAGACGCACCAGAGCGAATGGGGGGCCGTAAATTTCGTTAAGAGTCGTGTTTCACGCTCAACTCGCTTATACGCACGGCGCACACACGTGCGAGGGCCCTCTCGTGTGATTCATACCTCCCATGTAAATACGAGCACTGCATATCTGTATAAAAGGGCCCCATAGACGGGCCTGCGTGCCGATAATATGATTATTACACCCTCGACCGGAGACAATATAGTACTGTGCACGAAGATCATATATGCGGGAAAGTTGTGCGCGTACGAAACGAAAGCGGCGGGGATTTAGGCTTTTCCGATGGCCTCCTCCGGAATGTGTCCACACGTGCCCCCCCTTTGGACCGCGCGAAGTGTGCGCACGTTAATTTATGCGAGGGGCTG